ATCTTTACTTAATATCCTAATGATTTTTGGCATAAAAGAAAAATCGATAATTTTGACCCATACAATGTATTTTTGGGTATTGCTAAAAATATACCCAAGTGACTTGAGACTGGTTTTGTGGTCCAGGGTCACAAATAATCATTCAAATTCTGGTTATGGCTCTGTGAGTTATATTATCTAGCCAGCATCCCATAGGTACAGTGGGTACGGAAAGTATTCAGACCCCCTTCAATTTTTCACTCCTTTAATTATAATAAATATTATAATAAATTAATTAATATATGTAATTTTTTAATCAAACTATATACATTTATCTATAGCAGATTTCAAAATGAACATTCATACAATATTATCATACTGTACATTATAACGTTGCCTAGATTCACCTCTAGCATACAAAAACAAAGTATATTTATAGATTTAAAATATTAGTCATAAGAAAAAAATATATTGCCTAAAATATCAATGTATCCCTGTTTAGGATTTTATTTATTTTTTGCACTGAGACATTATTATCAATTCATATTCTCAATGTTCATCATTGCTATGATACAGTAATATAAATCAACCAGTCTGGACATGATTTATTCATTAAAATCAGAATAAAGGCAGTATAACAAATACTACCATGGTATATAAATACTGTACATTGTTTCTACATTAAAATGTGAAAATGTCACTGCAAAGAAAAACAAACAAACATTTAATTTAGTGAAATGTGACCCATCTTCTGACCAGCTTTATGAGATTCAACCTAATAGTTCAAACTCACATTCAAACACAATGCTATAAAACAAGGTAATCTGGGTTACTGCCTCTCCAATTACTTTATGAAATTTGACCATGAATGTTTTAAGTCATTATTTATCGCCATAATTTATTTCCACATACCTACAAAAATATTAAACTTGCCATGGCTTCAGGTTTGTGTAGCAGGCTGCAATGCAAATGTTGAACATGCTTGAACCAAAACATTGTTAGTCAAACCACAACAACATTTTAAAATGTTTAATTTAGAATTGGAAAATGACATCTTTACATGACCAGAACCATCAGATGGACGACAGGCAACATAGGCATCTATGAATTACCACAGGCACACTATGGGCCTGGGCAGACTTGCACTATACTCTATATAGACAAAGCCACATGGAAAAGCTGTGGCCTTTAGTTTTCTTATTTGAATTCTCTTGAACCGCAAGCAGCCCATCGGATCCTTTGCCGACAACCCTCTTTTGGTCGTTAGATGAGATACATTATATGGTCGACACTGATTTGCATTAAAAAAAGAAAAGAAAACAGTTGTGGCTTCCAAGCTTGTCCTTAAATATCTAGGTCATATATTTACAGAGCCGTTCACCTTGCACTCATTTTACGGAACAAAACTTCACTGCAGGGAAGGATGGATTATTTTTCTTTTTAAATTCAGTAAAAGGTTTATCTCAGTGACCCCTCGTCCAGGCCATCAAACAGAAGAACAAACTGGAGGGGAGGCGGGACTTGAGTGGTGAGCAGGGGGTTAGCTAAATGTCAATCGTCTGTAAGGTCCTGCACAAAGAGGACTTCTGACCGGCTCAGACCGGCCTCCCTCAGAGTGAGGGGATTGGGCTGCTCTTCCGTCGGCAGGCAAGGCAGGACCCGGCGTGGGAAATTCGTTACTATTTGGAATTTCTCAGGGGTCTCTTTCAATGAAAACAGGAAGTCGTGTATTTCCTAAAAGGAGGAAAAGGAAGTTTTAGACACTGGTTTTCAGTTCAAAATACATTTTTTTTTAATATTAGATATTGTATAATACAATAAAACACTAAGCCTTGTTTTTCCCCAAACATCAGCGTTAAAACCCTGAAAACAGAGTGTCTGATGAGCCTGTGTTCTTATCTTTAACAACAGATGCTGATATAATGTTATGGTACTCCACACTGTACAAACAAGAAAAAAATAAAAAAAATAAATGAAGGGTGTTTACCGTCAATGACTGGCTGAAGAGGAATCTCCGCTCCACGCGGGTATCGTTGGGCAGTTTGAACACTATTTTGACACTGTCTGGGTCGTCCAGGGGCGGCTCAGGAGGAAGACACTCAGACTTGCGCTCCTTCTCTTCTTCCAGTGTCTGTAATTACATAATCATTAGGAAGTCATTAAGTGTGATTAATCATAGCTACAGATGTCAGAAATTTGTCAACTTACTAAACAAACAGGCATCATCAACAATTACATGTGATGTGCAAAGAAAGGGACCGCAGGTTTTAAGTTAGAGACAGTATATGCAACTGTTCTCAAGAGTATGAAATTACAACATACTTTCGTCACAGACCGTACAATTTTTTACTGCCTTTTGTTGATTTAATTTCTATTTAAATCCGATTTTGTTATTTTTCTGTAATCAGTTACTTAAAAAAATTAATTATATCCTGAAATTCAATGTTTTTATAAGATTGACAGCAATGTTAATTGTCGAATTCATTTGTAAATTTATTTTTCTTTACATAATAGCAAATTACTTAATTTGCTTACGAAGAGTAAATTACTTACTCTTCGTCTCCTCTCTTCGGCAAGGATGCTCTGGCGTGCATTCTCTTCCTCTTGACGTTTCTGCTCTTGTTCTTCTCTTTTCTTTCTGTCTTTTTCCTGGTCTGCACGGAGGGATGCCAGGTAAGCTTCATCTTGCTGCTGCCTCAGTACCTGCGTCTGATTCCTCTCCTCCCTGGAGAGAGATAGATAGATAGATAGATGCATAGATAGACAGATAGATAGATAGATAGATAATGTACAGTATAGTTTCTTTTTAATGTTGTAATTAAATGCCCTTCACACATCTGGGTGAGTTTCAATTCTTCAGAAAGCTAATGACGTAATCTTACCGCTCTAGTCGTTCTGACATTAGATATGTCTGGTTTGCCTCCATGATGAAGGTCAGTTGGTTAATAAGATCCTCAGGCTGGATCAGCCCCTCCAGTCTCCCAACAACTGTCATTTTGCGGTCCTTCAGCATGATCATAGCCAGGAAGGGATAGGTGTTCTCACGCAGGGCCTGAGAGACTGAACACACAACAAAGACAAGATAATGAACTCAAACCACATCTCGTGAGATGACGATGACGCCACAACAACATTCAGAAAGGGATTAATCAAGAGACTGGGAAGTGAAGTTGATGGGAAGCTGGTTACCTCGGTAACCCTCTGGCTTGCTGGTGGAACAGGCCCAAAACAGCATCCTTGTGTTAATGAAGGTCAGTGCCTCTTCTGAACATAATGTGGTTCTAAGAGAGACAGACAGACAAGAGGTCTGGTTATGAGATCAGAAGCTCACCAGATGTAAATGTGAATAGAGGAGAACATCCAACTTAAAACCTACCGGCAGAACTCATCCGTGTCCTGGTGATCTTCTCCATGAAGATAAACTAACAAGTAGCGAAGTTCTCGCTTGGCATCATTCAGAGCCTAGAAGAAAAAACATTAAGAACATTTTTGGATTTACTTAAAGGGGTCATATGATGCGATTTCAATTTTTCCTTTCTCTTTGGAGTGTTACAAGCTCTTGGTGCATAAAGAATATCTGTAAAGTTGCAAAGACTAAAGTCTCAAATCCAAAGAGATATTCTTTATAAAAGTTAAGAGTCAACCACGC